CTACCTCTGGAGGTAGTCTACAATTCTCGAACGGATTTTCCAGAAAATTACTTTTCCATTTGACTTTCAACCGAAATTTTCTGATTTTTTTGGATAAATGGTAAGCACTGTTTAAACATGGTGCACAGTCTCAGCCAGAGTGACAAACTGTTGTTAATTTGTTATTTTGGTCTCTTATTATATTTTAGCCGCTCAAGAATCGCTGAAGCCCGAGCATTTGCTGCAGAACACTTTCACCCAGAACACAGCTGACACTTGGAACATGTTGCATCTTGTTGGATTAGAGTTTATTGCCTGAAAGAGCAGTCAGTGAAAAGATATTCATAGAAATGACAACAAGAATGGTCTTTGAAAATGTTTCTGTTGTCAAAGTCGCTCTGAACATGTGTGAAGTACAAATGCGAAAAAATACGGAAATTGTACTCTATGGGCTTTGAACCGCGGATATTTATGTTAAATGTCACTTTGGAAATTATACGTTGTAAATTAACTGTAGAGTGAGTATTTTAATTTTCTGTTCTTCGGTTTGGAATACACTTTCAAACTTCGGATAGAGAAAATACTACAAGTTACATCTCCACCTTGAGAAATAAAATACCCAATATTAAAGAAGACGAGGATTTCTTGGCTGTTTATCATTGTTCTTAGAGCACGTTATAGTTATCTAAATCGCCGTTGTTGAACTCGACGTAACACTCGGTGTGATGAACCTCGTTCGTTCGTGTTTGTCATCAATCAGATTTGCCCAATCTGCTAAATTAAGAGGGCCTTCAATTGTCTTGGATTCGTGCACTGGAAATAAAATTGAATTATATAAGCTTGTATCATAGGTAATTTGCTAATTCAGTTTTAAAAACATATTTGAAAATATGTATTTCGTAGAGGAAACTTTAACTTTCTAAGGTTTATACTGCTTCATTTGATACGGCCGGAAAATAAAATGTAATTATTTTGCGCCGGCTTCCTGAAAATAAGCTCTCACCTGGATTTTCAAAACTAAAAGGCACGTCATATCTTTGAACAGTTGAAACACGACCAGCGCGAACTGACGCCATAGCAGCCGAAAGAAATCGTTGAAGTCTTCTGGGCTTTGTCTCCTGTTTTGCTGAGCTTATTTTATGACCTCCATTTGCGCTGTCCGATTCCTCCAAGTTCTGCTCGCTACAGGTGTGGGATGTTTGTGATGTTACTGTGGCTTCAAGCATCATTTCTTCATCCCTGAAATCTAAATCATTTCCAGCAAAGAGTTTCCTCGTTTTTCCTTTTCTTTTGTTTTCACCTGACTGTTCTTTACAAGAACTGTCATGAGCCTGAGTTTCAGGCTGTGAGATATTTTTTTCGACAGTAGTGCTGAATAGAATTCCAGCGTTTGGGTCCCAGTTCCTTGTGTGTTTTTGAATTAATGCGGTACGGTGTGTCCCAGGCTCCTTCTGCTCTCTCAATAGGCTAGTCACGTGAGTACAGGAGTAACTCCGCTGACTGCTTCTCAACTGTTCGTCTTGGAGGTCATTGGCTGCATTTGAATTTGACAAACCAAGAAACTCCTCAATTGTTTGTGATCCATGAACTAACAAAACAAAAATATAGAATTAAGTCAACGCTAGGTTTAACTTAAATATTACAATGCAGTTTCGTCGGGTAAAATCGTAACTTATTTCACGATCCAGCGGTTTTATACATCGTTCGTAAAACTAAAGTTAATCACAGGGTTTATGCGCAGTCTTATTGGATAGCTAGATGCTTTGCGTGAGACTTTGTGGTAATAATTTTGTAAAGCAATAATACTCTCGACTGAGTTAAGATCAGCTTTAGAGAGCTTGGATGTTCTTTTCTGAAATCGTGGCTGGTGCTCGGGTTCACACCAACTTTCGGGACACATCCCGAGCACACTCTTGCTTTACATCACACTATCCACACGCACGCTTTTGTTATGTAGTACAGAAAAACAAACACCAAAAATGTCCGTCGAGGGCACAAGACCAGCAAACTCGCTGCTTGTGTAGTCTCAAAAATTGTCGAAATGTTTCCGATTATCGCCGTCCAATTAGTATTTATTAGGGAGTTTAAGAAACCACGACGGCGTCGCCGAGGACAACGTCGATTAAAAAATGAACTTATATTCTACTTGCGAATCTCGCGTTAAATTCGAAATAGAAATCCAAAAAATTAGCCGTCGTCAGTTACGGTCTTTAGACAACGCAGAACTTGATCATTTCACATTGTTGTTTTGCAGAGGACGGCTAAGAAATGTACCAAGAATGATAACGCACGTGCACAGCCATTGTTCTGCTCATTAAATCTTTTTTTTGGCGACGTTCCCGTTGCCGTTGCCGTCGTGGTTTTCTTAAACTCCCTATTAACTTTACTCCACATACTGTTATACAACGAAAGAAGAATGACAGTATGGAGACGCAAATGTCTGAAAGCGCTGATGCATCATTCTGGAGGATTGATAATAAAAATCCTTTCAGGATATAATGAGAGCATGATGAGAATGAGCACCAAAATCACAAATCTTTCAACCTGATACGCTGGCTCTCCATGGGATCAAAAACGTCATTCATTTAACTAATTCATTCATGCATTTTCTGTTGCTATCGTATACTCCTTGTTCCACTGATACAAACACATTGATTTAACCCATAATCCCCCACTTTTCTGAAACCGACGCAAAGACTCGTTTCTAAACAACGTCTATCAATTTTGTGCGTGTCTCAGCCGGTCCCATGGCCCCGAGCCCGGCCCTCTCATCCTTCTCTCTTCACTTTGTAATTATTGTAGTTCCTCTGATAATAATAGAAAAAAAAGAGAATTGAAAAAACAAAAAAACAAAAAAAGAAACATTCTCACCTGGATTTTCAAAGCTGAAGGGAACTTTAGAGCGGCTTTGTTTTGGAATACAGCCTGTGGGGATCACTGACAATACAGCGGTGAAAAATCTTTGCACTCTGCCGAGCCTCACTCGGTGTTCTCGTGTTCTTGTTTGGCGGATATTTCCGATCCGATTCAGTTTCCACTGAATCAGAAGATGAGTAAAAAGAATCACAATGAGTTTGCGAGCAAGATGATCGGACAAAAATTTTTCCACACACAAAGAGTACAT